TAGCATTTTCGACGCAGCTGGAGGGTATGTGGGTCAGAGCGAGGGGGCAGGGGGGAGGAATTCAATTTATTTGTAATGTAATTATTATTATTTCTTTTCTTTGTCACATTATTATTATTATTTTCTTTCTTTGTCTCTGAAAACTATTTGCTTCTCATCCACATTGAACAATGATAAAAGATACAGGTGTCCTATCTACATGAAACATGCAAAACATGTTTATGCAGTAATTTATAATGGGATGCTACTTGCTGCCAGTTGTTGGCTGGTGGTCTTATTTAAGCTGCTAAATACTCTTTTAGAAAAAAATAAACAGGAATATATCCTGCCTGGGCACTGTAGCCATTTTACATAACATATTCCCAACACTGAGTTTCATCACATTTTTACTCTGATGAACAGCCTGATACACTGTAGTCCCTGAGCACTATATAGCTCCCTTTTCTGGGCTTCCTCTTGGCTTCCTTTGAGGAAGTGGAAGAGTGCTCTTTGGTATGATCTCAGATACATGCGGGCTTAGTCTATGCCTTTCCTGGCTGGGTGTATGATGATAGGACTGGGTGAGTATATGATGACCTGGTTGTGGGAGATTGTCTATGCTTCTCCTTAATAGATCCTCCCTGGATTCAGAAGTGTTTGACAACTATTGTAGCTTTCCCTTCTGGTAATGATGTAAAGAGACATTGGGATTTAGCCAGAGACAATCTAGAGAAAGTGGAACTCTATGAAACTTTTTCAATTATTTACACATGGGCATGGGATGGAGAAAATAGCTTTTGTAGTCAGATGGCATTTCTCACGGTCTTGATGTAGGAAGAGTGATCCATAAGTCTTACTTAACTTCACAGTAGCTTTTGTTATTATCATGCATGATATCCTGGACTGCAAGGTTTGGTGATCAGAGGCTCTTTTCTGCAGTATTTGCATCCCTCAATGGGTAATTGCCATCAATGCAGTGGATAAGGCAAGGTTGGCTCATATACACCCTTTTTGGGTGCTGCAGGGCCAGTCCTTCCCTCTTCCTTTCAAATAAAACCGCTGGGAAAGGTCATTTGGCTGTTGGGAAGTGATATGAACAGGCTGATGATACTTAGCTTTAGACTGCCATTGCAGGCCCAGCTGAAGTTGCTACTGAAATCTCATTCAAATATCTGGAGACTGATGGGATATGGATGGGACAAAACAGGTTAAAGCTGAACCATAATAAGATGGCATTACTGGCTGTTCATCACAATTCTAGCTAGTGAGCAGTTATGAGAAGGCCTGGCTGTTCATGCCATAATCACCATGCAAATGGAGTATAAGGTGCTCTCTACCTGGAGCTTCTTTTAAAACTCCTCAAAAACTGCAGCAAGTGAAAAATGTAATGTGTAATTGGAATACCCAGTACGATAAATAATATAGTTCTTTTCAGGATATTTCATAGTGTACACTCCACTACTATAGTGGAATTGAAAGAACTAGTTCTGATTTGTAAATACCTATACAGCTTGGCATCTATGTACTTTAAGTAGTGCCTCGTATCGCTGGCTAGGGAATTCTAGAAGTTCACAAATTTTCAAGATGCCAAGGTTGGTTAACTCTTCTCTGGAGGTTAATTGATCCTGCTCTGCTATAGTCTTTTAGCACTTCCAGAGGGCCTTTAGGGAAGGGCTATTAGCCATATTTATTCAGATATTATATATTTNCTTCATGTTTGCAGTAAAAACATTTTTAAATTGGGTGCAGTCACATGATGACTTCCTTAACAACTGCATCACTTTGCAACAAAAGTTCTGGTCCCAATCGTGATTGTAAGCTGAGGAACACCTATAAGAAAATGTAATTCTGTATTCAAATTGTAGCATTCAAGTAAACATTGGCCAGACTGGGATTTCAGAAATATACAATAAACCTTTTATAAGGCAGAATCAACTATTAAAGAATGTGGACTGAAACTTTAAAGAAGACTGAACTCATAAATCTCAACTTAGTACTTTTATTAAGACTATTATGCATATTAGTAGGCCTGTTTATATAGAGAATCTTCATTGTTTGAAGACTGCAGTTTACATAAAGACTCCGTAGGATAAAAGTTTGTATTAAACAGGATAGAAATGGAAACAGAAAGTCATCATTCCCCCCCATTGCCCTATTGTACTAACACCAGCCTCTTGGAAATCTTTGTGACAATCTCTTGGTTGAGGGAGACCCAGTAGAAATGATTGGCTTTAGGCAGAGAGATCGGCACCATCTGGTTGCAAATTTTGATGGACAGGAAATAGCAACAAGATATACGCTGAAGTTTGCTCTTAATTCTCTCAATTACTCAATAAAGGCACATATTTTGCTCAGTTAATGACTTAAGAGTTTCTTCATTATCTAAATATATGTAATTCTACAGGTATATGAAACAAATTGGAGACAACGTATGTATTATTTTCACTTTTTGGTAAGCAAAAGGAAACTGTAACACTATCATAGAAAATTGATTAGGTTTCTTCTGCTTTAAGAATGTTGAGTTTTTAAGGAGAACATGTTCAACTGATGCCAGAAAGATGAACGTTTATAGTAATCAAAGCACCCAAACTTAAAAAAAAAAAAAAACCAAAATATGTGAGAAATGGTATCTTCTTTGTTCAGATGTTCAGGATCTAAGTACCCATGAGTTTTTATTTTTTGTAGATGCAGTGTTTTTGAACTATTTATTGAGTTTTTTAAAAATTTATATGGCTACCCAGGATAATTCTTGGAGGCTTAAAAGGTCAAAAATAACAGTATAAAAAAACTGAAAAAGATTGCCAGGGAGAAGGGTGGGGAGCAACCCACAATAAATAATTAACAATAAACAGGAAATAAAGTTTGTGCAATCCATTGAAAATTTATTTCATTACTTTAAAATTCTTAACTCTTGTCTGGTTATATGAGTTTTGGATATAAACCAATATTAAGCATTTTTTGGATTTGAATTTTTGGATTCCCAACAGATTACTGTACATAGTTTATACACTTTGATTTCAACACCTGAAATGTACAGTGAAATGAGTTCACTTAACACAATACCTTAAATTCCTGTCATTCTAATGTTCTAGTGCAGTATTTTGTTCAAATAGCAAAAGTCAGAATAATAACAACTATCATTCATCATTTTCCTCCCATTTCCCATCTCCTAGTGCAGCAGCACTATTTATTGTTAAATGGTTACGGGAATGATATTTTTGGATCCTAAATTGTCTTGTTCTGCAAGACAGTTGACATATTCTTTTTGTTAAAAAGTGCTGGATTGAGCTTGGAGTTTGTTTGGTTTGGTGCCTGGGAAAAGAGGACTTTGGTTTCATCCTTGTTTTTATTAATTATTGTGAGCTATCTACAATTATTATATGAGATGTTAATGTAAATTTTGTAAATAAATAAATAAAATAAGGAAAGCATTGCTGAGATATTTTCATTGAAATATATTTCATATTTATGGGATTATAGCTGGACATTTGTGCGTGTTAATACACTAGGAAAAAAAGAAAGAAATTATAATTGTATCATTGGAATGAGTTTCGTAGGATAGTATGCAGGTGAACAGAATGTCCTGTAATTAAATAAGAGAAAATTAAATATTTATGTTGTCCCCAAATTTTAACCATCCATTGAAGAAACATGCTGATTTACCTCTTTGGAAAGACCTGGAGGATTGTCTTGAACATAATCCAAAAGCTTTTTAGGAGGCTGCATCATATAGGTAGAATTGCGAGATGAAATGGAGAAGAATCAATGGCAGCAAGGAATGAAACATGTGGAGAAGGTGACATAGTTAGAAACTGAGTGTTGACAGATTACAAGAGTGGTAAAATGCAACAAAATGAGAGGATCAGTCTGGGGTAAAGAATATGTGATAGTAGCTAATCGTTTTAATAAACTTTCCTCTGTTGTTAGTAAAGCTGAAGTTAAAAAACTAAAGGAAAACATAACTCTCCCAAATTCAGTAGCATTAAATTGGGAAAGATGGAAGAATGATGGGAGAAAAAAAGAGAGAATATAATCAATTGGTCCTGTTTGAGGCTCTGCTGTGTTCTCAGTGAGGCTAAAGCTTTCTGTAAAATTATGGATACAATCCAAGTTTTGCTATTCTGATTGTCTTCTTCACTGGGTTAGACCTGAACAGATGTTGACTCTGGAATGAAAGAGCTCATGATGGATTGCATTCCAGATCACAGAATGAACTGTAATAAACAGCTCTCTTTAAGATCAGAAAAAGTACTAGTATATTTAGGTTAGGCTGCTAGAAAATAAAATTCCTTCAATATACCAAATTGTTACACAGAAAGATTTTGGGGCCAAAATACACTGAGATCCAAATGCCAAAGTAAATGGACAGAAGGTATTTATTCAAAGAGGGCAGGGATAGACTTGTTATTGTAATAAGTGAGGACACAGAAAAGTGCAAGGCAGAACATTGCTCTGATTTCTAGTAGAGGCTGAATTTACCATAATGTCTAGTTTGGTCTCTCCAGGTTGCACTGAGATGCTTGTTGCAGAGCAGGGGTATCAAACTCATGTGATGTATCATCATCACGTGATGTATCGTGACTTTTTTCCCTTTTGCTAAACTGGGCGTGGCCAGCACATGACGCATCTGGCCCACAGATCACAAGTTGGACACCACTGCTACAGAGGAAGCAGCAGTTTTTGGGAAATAAGGTCTTTAGTGGACAATTAACAATGACATTGCCAAAAGTCATTAATGCCTCTTCAATTATCTGTCATTTGTGAAAAACATATTTATTTCTTTTGGTGGGGTTCCCAAATGAGCTTTCATATTTTTTTGGTGTTGTTCTGATTGAATTTTTTTCCCCTTTAAAATCAAGAAAGCTACATTTGTGTGAGATTCTTGTATTATTCACATAGTTTGGTGACAGATGGAAACCATTGAAGGATGATGGAAGGCTTCTCTTGTGTTGTGATTATGAATCACAAGAAGAAATTCTACAACCTTCCGAATCCAAGATAGCCTGGCTATTGTAAATGTTATTTTGGAAATTACTGAAAAAAAGCTGGTCTTATGGCCTCCTCCAGAGGACTGAGGAGCACTTAAGTTCAGTTTGGGACAAATTCTGATATGCAGAACTGTCTTAGCTTTCTAGCAGCTGTGCTGTTTCACAGTTTTGTCCTCAAACCTGGGCAGCTTATGATGAACATCCATCAAAAACTTACACATTTGTGGTGCTAATAGTTTCCTTCACACCTCATAACAGCAACGCCATCACAGAAGCAGAAGGCAGTTGTATTCCAAATGACTGTGGAGACTGCAAATCTGCAGATGGCATTGTATATTCTATTTATATTTAGAAAAATAGCCAAAGCAGAGGGCTGATGCTTGATAATATAGAAAAAAAGTTTCTTTTCTATTAGGGAATATTTATTCTCTTTCAATGTTTTTGCTCCATATGGCTTTGTGCTTTATAGTAATAATTATTCTGTTAAATCTAAATTAAATGAGAGCTAATAATAGCAATAGCAATAGCAGTTAGACTTATATACCGCTTCATAGGGCTTTCAGCCCTCTCTAAGCGGTTTACAGAGTCAGCATATCACCCCCACAGCNCATCTCACGGTCACATGATCGCCATTTGTGACCTTCACTGTCAGACTTCAACAAAGTCAACAGGGAGGCCAGCAGGAGGCTGAAGTTGGGAATCTCAAAATGTCACACCTAAAAACCATGTGGGATTTGCTTAACGACTGGAACTGGAACTGCCCTAAATGCCATTGTAAATTGCAGCAGTCATATGATGTCACTTTACAACCATATTGCTTAGTGATGGAGCTGCTGATCCTAACTATCACTGTTAAATGAGGACTACCTGTACAGTATAACCAGCATGAATTGGAAAAAGAAGAACCTTGTCCCAGGTACAGCTTATCAAGTACATAAACCACCTGTCTAATTAATGGTACATACATTTTATATTCAAGTAATTTCAGAGATGACATGAGAAACTGCAATTGCAATTACATACTCTGAACTACTCATCTTTTTAGAAAAGTAAAAGCATTGTGGGAAAAATATATAAAAACATTGCTTCAAATTGCATTACAATCCCTAACCAGTATTACATTGCATTTATGCAGAAAACTACTAGAATTTTACTTTGAGAGTTGCTGAATTGCATCCCGTTCTTGTTTTCTAGGGCTAACAATAATCCTTCAGCCTGCCTCCCCTCCCATCATGTGTTACCTGCTGTTATTAACTGAAGGAGCCAATAATTAAACTTCTTAATACAAAACCTACACTCTAGAACTGAGTTACAATTCTTTCCTAGTTAAAAGAACCCATGTTGATATTTGAAAACAAACCATTAACCTAGTTATAATTTTATTTCTCATCAAATATTATTTCTTCCTGGGGTGGTTTAAGTCATTTTATTGAGGCAAAGGTGATTTTAGAAGTAGTGCAGACTGACAAATGTGACTTTCTTGCTTGGGTTGGGAGAATGTCCACTATTGCATCAAAGGCAGGCAAGTTTACGTTTAGGAGCTTGTAATGTAACCTCTGCCACTTGAACTGGCAGTATCGTTTGCCTAACAGGATGGCTATTTNTGACTGTACAACAGAAAATTTCTAGGCTGTATAAGGTGCACAACACAAATGTAATGGGAACGAACTAGAAAGGATAAGGGTGAATGACTCAAACACAAGCATAAAGAAAAGGAAGTAATCCACCTTGGAGAAACAGTGCATTATCATATTCCTGGCTGCTGCTGTTGGTAGCATCCATGTCTTGATAAGAGGCACTGAGAGGCAAACTTCTGCATTCATTCTGGTACAACGGACAGTGAATAGCACCATCATGAGGCAGTGGATGCAAAGGCTGGCGTATGGGACTTTTTCTAAAAACTTTAAGGGAGGAATTCCTTTCAGGAATGTCTGGAAGCAATTCAGAAATAAGTCTGTGCAATATACTATTGTCAGGCAAGCTTCCCCTTCTTTTCTCTGCTTTGATTTGGTCACATATATCTTTAAGAGCGGAGTCCAGGGCGTCAAAGACAGATGATTTGCATTTAGTCTTTTCAGCCTGCTTTTTGGGGAGTGTGTTTTTTTTCCTCCGGAAAGGCACTGGGCTGACTAGGAAGGCTAGTTTAGAGAGGCCAGCATCGGAATCTTGTCGCTTAGGATCTTCTGGGGTAGTTTCCTGTTTAGCCCTTGCATGCTTCAGCATGGTGGTGAAGCGGGTGTATGAGGCTGGACATCTTCCTTTGCAGGAGCTGACAAGATGCTTGTGATGATGGTGATGTCCTGATCCGTAAAAGCTTTCTGAGGATGTGAAGGAGAAGTGATCGAAATCACTTTCACTACAAAAAGATGAGCCTTCTATCTGTATGAAGTCACTCATGTCAGAGACCACTCCATCTTGGTCGCTGTCTGAATAGTCCATCTGTGATCTTTGTGGTTCCTCACTAGTTACTTCAATGTGAATTGGCACCAGAGTGTTGGACTTGTAATTCTTTTGCCCCTGAGTAGTGTGCCTATTCTGATTTTCTTCATCCAGCAAGGATTCAATAGAAAACCGTCTCATTGTACAAAAGCCATTTTTAGGGGGTTCCAGGAAGCTTACAGTTGATAATGCTTCTTCCCCTAAATTAGGCATTGATTTAGATTTCTGAATTAGTTTTTCAAATTCAGATATTCTATTGGGCACCATGTCTCTTGGTACTTCCTCTGTGGAGGATTCTTTCCAACCATGTAGCAAGCTCTTATGCTGTTCCTTTTCATACTGCAGTACTCTGGATTTTACAGAACAAATCACCTCGGAGTTAAGCAAGTCTTTGCGGTTAATGCGGTGCATTCTTTTGTACAGTTTTAGGAATCCTGGAGCATCATGGGCAGACCTAAGATGTGCCCTTGACCGACTGGAACCGTGAGCTTCAGAGGAATATGGGGAAGCCCAGGCAAGGGAAGAATCACCTTTGGAATTGTCTGCACACAACAGAGACACCATACTTTCAGATTTATTCTGTGTATCAGAGAAGCAACAATGATCATCAGCTAGTAGGTCATCGTAGCTGCGAGATTTGCGTTTGGGAGAGGAAGTCTCTTCAGTGCTGCTCCAGACTTCTGCATTCTGACGGGCCATTTGCCAGCCATTCTTGTAGCTGAGGGGTCTTCTTGAATCACCTGGAACAGCTAATCGCTGCCCATAAATCTTACCATAATCTAAATCATTTGAGGTGTTCTGGTTGGGGACTGAATAACTGGAAAGGGATGAATATATTTTGCTAATATCCCCACCTTTATAATCCACAGAGCAGCATGGTGAAAAAGAGACATTGCCAGAAATTAACAGATTCAAAAGTAGACAGAAAAATAACAATTATTACATGCCAGAAAGGAATCAGGGGTTGGGAAGCACTTTGATTTTCTTAACAATTATGGCATAATATGCATGCCTAAAACACAATAATCATTAAGTTAACTTTGGATTCCACTATTAATATAGAAAGACTTTCATATGTATCTTCACATTTTTTAAATGGAAACCTGGGTACCATTTCTCACCTAGTCTCCCTGTCATGCTATAAAACTGTGTACATACATTATCATCTTTGTCAGCCTTGAAGGTAAGTTAACTAAAAAAAAAAATAACTGTACCACCTGTTCAGAAATCTAACCCAGGCAATAAAATGAAAAAACAGCCCAATAATTGCTGAAAATGGACAAAATGAAAAGAAAATGTGATTTTTGGTTCAGCTGATTATAAAGGGTGAAATGTGGAGGAAAACGGAACTACATAATGTAACTCTTAAGGGGGGGAGAAATAGTAGAAGTTTATTTGTAACTGCTATATAGAATATCAGAATCCACATTTTAAATGTTCTTTCTTTCTTAATCTATATTATTTTCACTATCTTTCATTTGATCTTCCTTTTTCTGTTTTCTTTTTATATATTTTCTTGTTCAGTTTTTGATTGTGTAAAGGGTTTAAATAAAAACTATATATTAAAAAACAGCCTAATAGAAACCCAGATATAGATGTATTGCTACTTGGAAAGACTTGGAACAATTAGAAAATTGATAGTACATAGTAACCTTAGGGCCCTTTGCAGTTTTTTCCAATTTAAAAATAAGATTTTCCATTTTTTTCTCCACCTCACTCTCTGTCTCTTTCCCCACAACTTTTTTTCCTCTGGTTATTCCCTTGTATTGGTGATGTTTATAGTGTGACAGTGTAAACAATGGGGAAGGTTTTAAGCTGAAAACTGAAAGCTGAAAACTTTAATCAATGGATTTACGGGGAAAACAATTAGTGGTAAATGTGAACTGATATGTTGGAATAAAATTTTGGTAACAGGGAATGATGGGAGTGACACAGATCTAAAGTTTGTTAATTTGGGAAAAAGCAAAATAAAGGCACTTTATCCATAACTTTCTAAAATCATTGCCTGGATTAGATTAGTTCCAGCA